AGTGAAATAATTGAGAAAAATGTCATGAAAAAGTTTAAATTTTTCATTACCACCCAATAAATCATCATTCAAGAACTCCCAGCAATAATTGACAAAGTACCAAAAAAAAATCACACTACCAATATTAGTACTAGTAATTGGTCGGGCTACTCTAGAAGTGTAACTTACACGATTTACAGGATGGATAGGCACAACAATGCCTTGGGCACAATGATCCGATAAGTAAGTGTCATAGATTTCTGTTTCAAAAAGATTTAGAGAAAAGTTAATGAATAAGTTGTTCAGGCAGTTGCTCAACCTAGTTGCGTTTATGGTTCTTATAAAGCCGTAGGAACTGAAGAGGTCACACAACGTCACTGCAGCACCATTAGACGTGCCAAATCTGACTTTGAAATCGTCGTAAATGATAATTTGCTTCAGATGGAGGCCTATACAAACAGACAGTCACAACATCATATGATTCACAACGCGATGCAGTTAATTCACAATGCAATTCCACAGATAATTCATTAACACTTTATTAAAACACCCCTACGTATGAGCTCAGATCGTGCAAAAGAAGTAGTCGAGTGAGAATTAGTATATTAAAAAACAAGTTTCGTAAGACACGCTTGAAATGCACGAATTCAAGTTGAAAAACGAGTGGCGAAGCCACGAGTTTTTTAATAATTGAGTGCTTTAAGTCTTATGAAACGTGTTTTTTATGATATGTTTTATAATTCGCGTTTTTATCCTTTTTTTAACAAAATTAAAATAAATTTTGACGATGTAGGGAAATAGGTATGTAGCAGTTGGTAACACTTGAATATAGAAATTTGAATTGACAACTAGAAACTGTCAAAACACAAAATGTATTCACCTGACAAAAATGTTTCATGTACACCTCCCAAAATAAGAGAAATTGCTCAGAGTTCAATGTCCTCATCATTGTGGACCTTGTATTCGATGCTAAGAAAGTGTTTAAACATCCATAGACAAAAATTGCCACATTGACAACTAGAAAAATTAATGACTCAATATCACCAACTTGAACTGGTTCCATAAAATGTTACTAAAATCTCATTACAGCATCGGATGCTGTAAGAAGTCTCATTACAGCAACCGTTTAAGTACTGTTATAGCTTTCATTACCGTCGCGAATTACAAAATAGTATATTACAGTACAAGTGAGGAAACTAAGATTTTTCATTGACCCGTATGTCGGATAAGACAATGTCAAAAACTGCTGTCGCCGCCGACATGTCAACATGAAATTACCCAGAAATAAACGAATTTTAAGATCGGGTTTTTTCTAAATAGCAGGATTGAAAAAACGCTATACAGCACACGTGGGAAATTAATACTTTCCACTAACTTGTATGAAAAATCTTAGTTTCCTCACTTGTACTGTAATATACTAATTTTTCTACTTATTTTTATATGCGAATATATGTCATATGATAAGTTTTTTTTTACGTAGATTCGGCTGATAATGAGTAGAATACTGCTCGAAACCGGTTCCGAATAAATATATTATTTTTAAAGCAAATAAGAAGCTTTTTTTACAAATTTTTGAAATATTTGAACTTTCAACAGCCTGGACTTCGAAAACCACCGACGTCAATATAAGAGATGTTGGATTAAGTCGTCATATTTTAGTGTCTCTGGTATTCGGATTTCTCATTCTTTCTGACTCACCCTGTATATGTAGAAAGAAAATATTTTATATTTCCGTTTTTAAAAAATAATCATCGAAAATGGTTAAGGATCAGGTTAGGTTGGATTTATATTCTATTGTTTAAATTTAGGGAAAAGAAGATGAAAATCTTTTCAGTTTTCAAAGAGTTTCCAACATTTTCGAATATTCCGGATATTTGAACAAGTTTTTATAACTTCTCCAACTTTTCTTCTTAATTATGTACTGTTCCTTTATACATTATTTAAATAATAAAAGCACTGTAAAAGTTATAAAAACATTTTTATGTTGAACTTTTCCATCTGAGCTTTCTTTGAAAAAGGAATAATAATATTCTAATTTCTGTTGGAGATTGCATAACGTTGGCTGGTAATTAGTGAAGGAGAACATTTTCCTCGGTTTCCACTAAAAGCAAGAGAACTGCGAAAATGGAGGCGGGGAAACGAAAGTCGTACCTCTACTTTCGCGAATCGAGAAAGCGCGAGATAACTTCCTCGGAACTCATAAAGCCTCCCCCTTTGAAATTGCAACCGCGCCAGTTCTCGTGCGCGCTGATTTCGATTCTAACTTTGGCGTGCCAATCCTGCGCCTCAGGAATTTTCAACTTTTGATTAATACTTTGCCGTTTCCGTAAAGTTTTCCCCGATTCCCGCGTAAATGGCTTTTGTTCACCCCTTCACGTTGTATTCCCTATCCTCCTAATTGAAATTGACGGTAAATTTGTAATCATAGCCAATTAAATTAATCCAAGCCATTAAAAAAATATATATAAACCAAAAAAACCTATAGAAAAGACGTGATTTTTTTTCTTTATTCTTTTTCCTTGTGGATAAAACGAGGGGTGATAATCAGGTTCGTTCGGACGAATTNTCCAAATAGGAGGGCATTTCTGTCCTTGCTGGAAAGATTTACAAATACTGGATCCGTAAAACGTATTAAGCGCAACAAAACCAGTTGCACGTATTGTTAGCTGTGCAAGAAAATGCAGAATCTAGTGTGTGTGAAATAAGTAGGAGGACAAACATCAGTAAATCTTCGGTATACAGGATTTTAAGAAAACATAATTATCGTCCGTATCGAATCCAGTTGCACCAGGAAATTACTGAAGGCGATTTCGAAAGCAGGCTGTTATTCTGTCAGTGGGCAATTGAAAGAACTAATCTTGATGCGAATTTTTTCGAACAAGTGATGTTTTCGGATGAAACCGGATGTCGAGATCATGACATGTAAACTACTTTTTTTCTATCTCTTTTAGTTTTGGAGATAGCCTATGCGGACAACGAAATTGGGACACCCTGTACAGATGGTCAGTCAACGTGTGGGCAGGTGTCATTGGAACGCATATCATAAGCCCTTTCTTTCATAATCAACGTTTGACGGGTAGGATTTATTTAGAATTTTTAGAAAATAATTTGGGCGTTCTGTTGGAAAATATTTCACTGGCTATTCGTCAGTGGATGTGGTTCCAACAATATGGTGCTCCACCACACAATACCGCCCAAGTACGTCGATATTTGGATGTGTCCTTTACGGACCGTTGGATAGGACGAGGAGGACATGTCACATGGCCTTGCGATTTCATTTTATGGTGTTTCATTAAAAGCAAGGTTTACGACTCATAAGCCTCATAAATTATGAGACATCACCAACTACTCCTGACGATATGGTGTCAAAGCATTGTAACAGCTTTTCAAGAAATCACACCAGAAATGCTCAGAAATGTTCAAAACTCCTAACAAAAACGATTTCTATTATGTAGTGAACAAAACGGACAATATTTTGAACATTTGATGCAATAGTGGTCTTGTTGTGTTTTGTTGGCCACTTTTTAAGCATTCCAGTAATATTTCTGCTAGTCCCAAGCCTGATAAAATGCGAGGGAAAGGTGGCCGGCGATGCGAAATAAGTATCTATCGTTCAAAACTGAAAAATCTTGAATATCTCCAACCGTTTTCGATATAGACCCTGTTACCTGTATAAAACTGAAAGGAAATTAAATTTTACATCCAGTTATGCAAAAACTGGTATACTCTTCCACTTAAAAAAATTAAGTTATCCATGATAATAATAATTGCATAATTTTCTATTAGCAAACGTGTGCTCTTTTATTGTTAATCCAAAACAGAAAACCAAATCTTTCTAGCTTTCACAGTTTCGGCAATATTGCCAAATTTATAAGACACTGCAATTTTTTTCGAAAATCGTCATAGAAATCAAAAACGATACCAGTTAGAGCTACGGTATCCTTAACAAACTACCATTAAAATTTCACAAAGAATTCAAAAATGCAATAATATACAGGATGTTCCATTTAAAATAACAAAGTTTATATCCATTTCCGGTAGAAGTGGAAGTCCGCTATTACGCTAAAATATGTACAGCNTTTATATTTCCGTTTTTAAAAAATAATCATCGAAAATGGTTAAGGATCAAGTTAGGTTGGATATATTCTATTGTTTAAATTTAGGGAAAAGAAGATGAAAATCTTTTCAGTTTTCAAAGAGTTTCCAACATTTTCGAATATTCCGGATATTTGAACAAGTTTTTATAACTTCTCCAACTTTTCTTCTTAATTATGTACTGTTCCTTTATACATTATTTAATTAATAAAAGCATTGTAAAAGTTATGAAAACATTTTTATGTTGAACTTTTCCATCTGAGCTTTCTTTGAAAAAGGAATAATAATATTCTAATTTCTGTTGGAGATTGCATAACGTTGGCTGGTAATTAGTGAAGGAGAACATTTTCCTCGGTTTCCACTAAAAGCAAGAGAACTGCGAAAATGGAGGCGGGGAAACGAAAGTCGTACCTCTACTTTCGCGAATCGAGAAAGCGCGAGATAACTTCCTCGGAACTCATAAAGCCTCCCCCTTTGAAATTGCAACCGCGCCAGTTCTCGTGCGCGCTGATTTCGATTCTAACTTTGGCGTGCCAATCCTGCGCCTCAGGAATTTTCAACTTTTGATTAATACTTTGCCGTTTCCGTAAAGTTTTCCCCGATTCCCGCGTAAATGGCTTTTGTTCACCCCTTCACGTTGTATTCCCTATCCTCCTAATTGAAATTGACGGTAAATTTGTAATCATAGCCAATTAAATTAATCCAAGCCATTAAAAAAATATATATAAACCAAAAAAACCTATAGAAAAGACGTGATTTTTTTTCTTTATTCTTTTTCCTTGTGGATAAAACGAGGGGTGATAATCAGGTTCGTTCGGACGAATTATGGGGCCGTAAATAAGTGGGTTTTGGTCGACGTTACGGTTTCTCGTAACGCCTCCCTTAATAACGATTTCAGCGATTTTAGATAAAACGAGGGAGCTTACCAACAATTTTGCTCTTTCAAACTTGCAGTATCCAGGATTTTTCCACCCTTTTCTCTGTATTGAACGATTACACTTGCTCCTAACAACACCGCTGGTAGTCCCCAAGCAAACACAGAGTATCTAAAAGAATTACAAAATATATATATAATTTTAGAATAATTATTGGTATTTATAGGTTTATATAACATTCAATTTTCCAACAAAGCTTGTTTATTCATGTATAAACTATAAGGATTGTGCTATATTGGGCAAGTTTACGATCGGTTTATCTACAGTATAGTAGCTAATCGAACGCATAGAGAAGGGCTTTTGTAACAACCTCTCCCGCTTGTAATGCTCACTTCCGGTCGATCGATGTTTTTCCTCAACCGCAAAACGGGGGGATGTTGTAGTTTCGTCGTTTTGCCGTTAGTGTAATACCAGGAAAATCATTTTCAGGGTTTTAGATCTTTCTCGCTCGTACTAAAATTAAACTTTCCATCCAAGTCAAGTTGTAATTTAGTGTACGGTCTGAATATAAACATAATGACAAGCAAACGTGTCTCCAACGTCTACTGACGTAAACATAGAAACGAATCTACGAGTTCTATGTTGGACTTTGTATACGAGAGCTACGATTTAATATGCGCCGGTGCCCCGGTCCGTGAATAATTTTGCGATGCCAGCCAATTTGGTTGGCTGTAAATTTACGAGCTCGTAATTTCCCTCGACCGATGAGAATGAGATAGTGAATAAAAACGAATTTTAGGTCAATTATATTATGTGACAAATTTAATATTATTTATTACATATACAGTAAAACCTCGATATAACGAACTAATACGGGGAAAGGAGTGTTCGTTATAGCCAAAAGTCCGTTATATGAAAAATTTTTAATTTATACTTTAAACTGTTTTAATGAATAATTTAATGCACATAAAGTGTGTTCAGTCTACGTGGGTTTATATTTATAGCAAGAACGGTCGAATCTCAGAGGGCTGCGACATCCCGGGAACAGGTGCACAGCTCGAAGGCCCGTTCGTGACGTCACGTACAGGTACAACTACATTTTCACACTTTGAATTAGCAAATGCTTAGTTTATTTTATTAAATGCTTGTTTTCTAATGTTGTTAGTTTGAGACTTGGAACTAATAATAATAAGCGTTTTATTGTTTCTTTATCTTTACAATTTTCCCTTTCCTAATATAATACAATACAATCTATATGTTACTCGCAATACCCGAATTTGGACATTGTCCAAAATTTTTACATACAATGCGTAAATTAACCAATTTTGCACATTGTGGACACCAAAAAATATTTGGCGTTTACTCAACACGCCAAAAAGTATCCACAATGCTATGTGAGTATTTCACGGTTGCTCACAACACGTTGTGGCTATTCAATGTTTACTCAATTTGTAAACCATCGTAGATAAAGCGGTCTTTCTAATCGAGGTACAACAAACGTTTATTAAGATAAAATGGTCTCTTGTTGAATTATAGCGATATGCCAAATTTTTATTTCTCCAAGAAAAGAAAATTTTAAATGTTCTGGTGAGGCTACTCCTTGAAAAGTTAGCTCGACAACGAAAAATAAGAAGATTACAAAGAAAAGTTTCATCGCTTCTACAAAAAATATTTTATGTAAATGTTATATATATGTAAATATAAATGCTTGTAGAAATAAATCGTGTTCGTATTTAAAACAATTGATTATTATTATGTAAAAATAAATAAACATGTTAATATAGCACTTATTTCTTTTTAATTTTTATAATAAAAAAAAATAAAAATTTTAAATTAAACAATAATAGGTAAAAAAAACGATTTATATGTCCACAAATTTTGCACTTAAAGGTGAAATGTGTTTATTATTACTCTACCGGTTTCGCTTCTTTCGGAGCATCCTCAGGAGTTCCTAAAGTTGTAAATTAGTTATTATTACAACATTTTCTATCATAATATAATTTTCTAAAACATTTTAACTTACGTCAATTCAGTTTTTGAAAATCTAAACATGCTATGTGATATTTTGTTAAAGTAATTCACTATTAAAAATGTAAATGTTAATTCTGTCAGATGAAGAATAGGAATATGAGAGAATTCAATAAGAGAATTCATCAATAAGAGAGAATTTAACAACACATAAATTTTATGAAAGAGTTACAAATATGTCAAAGACACAGTTTAATCAAAACGAATTGAATTTGCTAGAAAAAGGATTGAAATATTCCATATATAAAACAACCAACTTCAGAAAGACAGCATTAGAACTAGAAGCAGCTTCGAGAGGATTGCCAAAGAAAGAAGAAATACACAAAACCTTACAACAAATACTAATGAAAGAAGAAACTAAAATAACAAAAAGGAAGAAAAAGAACAAGGAAAAAACGGAAAAGAAAAGGAAGTGTGAAGAAAAGACATTGAACCATCAAAGAAAAAATAGAAAAAAATAACTTAATCTTTACTAAAGGCGATAAAAACGCAGGTTTAGTCATTTTAGATAAAGTAAATTATATAGAAATAACCGAAAAATTCCTTAACGATAACAATTTCATAAAAACCTTAAAAAATCCTACTAACTCCTTCCATGAAAAAGTCAAAAAAATAATAAACAATAGTAAAACTACTTTAACGAAATACGGCAGAAATGTAAGATCAATCATCCCAATGAACCCGAAAATACCCAGATTGTATGCATTGCCTAAGCTGCATAAACAGAACCCATAAGACCAATAATAACCAGCATCGACTCAAGTATTTACAAAATATCAAAATTTCTAATAGACATTTTCAAAACAAATATTAACTTCAAACCAACACACACTATTCGGAATAGATCAGAAATAATAACAGAATTGAGCACAACGTCACTGTCAAAAGATTTTACTATACTGTCCTTTGACATCGTCATCCTCACCAAACAAACATTGAACATTATTAAAGACATTCTATCACATAACATAGCAGACCTAAATAATCGTAGGTAGAATTTTTGCAAATTCGACAATAATATACATGTATTCATACAAAGAGGGTTTGCCAATGGGGTCTCCATTGAGCAGTTTAATTTCTGACATATTTCTAAATGAAATGGAAACTAAACTCATAATTAATAAAGATAATAATCCATATTTTGATAACATAAAATTTTGGAAAAGGTATGTAGATGACGTACTAGTCATTGTTAATACTAAAGACAACAACACTATAGACAAGATTCACAAATATATTAACTCACTACACAACAAGATACAGAAAATAACGAAATAAACTACCTAGACATAAACATAAAAAGAACACAGAATGACAATTTTATATTTAACACATATAGAAGACCCTCACAGCCAGATACAGTCATACCCTACGACTCATATCACTGTAACGCACATAAACTGGCTGCCTTTAGGTCACACATATATAGAGCAGAAACCATTTAGACCACCGAAATAAATACAATCTACCAAATTGCGAAAAATAATAACTTCCATAATAACTGATATTATAAACAAACAACAGAAAAAACAGAAAATGATTAATTGTACTACACTAAAGAATCAACGTAATGGAGATCAAGGTATTTATTATAGAACTATAACATTCCAAGGCAACATATCCAACAAAATAAAACAGAGCTTAAAACAATATAATATAAATCTTAATTTCAAACCAAATAAAACATTAGAAAGAATGCTTATAAACAACAAAGACAAAATAAATAAACTGGACGCCAATGGTGTATACATACTGGAGTGTGACACTTGTAAAGCTGCGTACATTGGAGAAACAGGCAGAAGCCTTAGAAAAAGAATAAGAGAACATAAACACGAAAATAACTCCAACTTCGGAAATCACTTAACATTTAATTCAAAACATGAATTTGACGAAGATAAAAATTCCAGAATCCTTCATCACATCAATAAAGGTTACTATTTAGAAATAATGGAAAACTATGAAATTAATAAATTCCTGAACAACTGCCCAGATGTAACATGCCTGAACGAACAGATTATACCTACAAGAAGACCACTATGTCCCTCAGAAGTGGCTCACCCCCATATTTTTTTTTTATTATTAGTGATATAAGAAAACCATTTGGAATGCATATACAGCGTGTCCCGTATCTTCCGCATCAGAGCATTATACGGTTGTAGAATACATTATTCTGAAGCGATCTTTCTAATAAATTTTTTTCGAAATGTTTATAATAACCGCACGGGAACTGTTTAACAACGACCAATAACGGACGACTTTGATTCACCGAAAAAGTTTATTTCTCTTTCCGTGACGAATCTATTGGTGAGTACACGTGGGAAACGAGTTATCATCGGCGTAGCGGACCGGCCGAGGGTGGCACCGATTACCTGAGTCTGATTTGCGATCTGCTGATTGGACGAAAAACAGTTCCTTTAAACAGTTCCCGTGCGGTTATTATAAACATTTCGAAAAAATTTTATTAGAAAGATCGCTTCAGAATAATGTATTCTACAACCGTATAATGCTCTGATGCGGAAGATACGGGACACGCTGTATA